TATCTCTCTCAGTTTCTGCCTTTCTTCTTGTGTTCTGTCGGGTCGGGGATACACCTTCCTGTATGCCGGATGTCCCTTAATCGTGCTTTCTCCTGCAGGATCCTCCCTCCGAGTCGGTTCTGCCTTGAAGGTCATTTTCACTGGCCAGGTTCTTTGTTTTACAAACCCCCTATTCTCCAAAAAATTTTCCCCAGCTGGGTCATGTCGTTTTCTCCTCTTGTTTCATGATGCTTTCGATTGCTTTTTTCCCCTTGTTTTCTTTCTTCATATGTTTCCCTTCAACTTCCTGGAGCCCATACACAAGACTGACCTCACCCTTTCATTCTCCCACTGCATATCCCTGTGTATCCCCTCATTCAATTTGGTTTCCCCCATTGCAGCTTTCCTTTCTTCAGTTTCACTAGCTACGTACTTGGGGTCAGTGGCCTGTCATTTTCCCTTCTTGGCTTTCCCTGGGCTCTGCTATGGTTTTGTTAGGGCCACCACATAAGCTTAGCTCTTTCATTTACTACAGTCTCCACTGATGAGCTTCTACATGCAGTTTTGCTTCTTCTTTCCCTACAGTCCCCTTATTTGTGACTGAGGGAAACAGTCTCTGTTGTCAATCCCATGATGTTCTTTAGTTCTTTAGGCTGTTTCAGATTTTTCAGTTCCTCTTCTAAACTCTGTATCCTAGCCTCGCTGCTTTTACATGCACCCCCCACTTCCTCTTTCCATATCTATCCTCTCTTCCATTCTCAGCTAAGTTCTTCTAGTTTCTTTTCCCATTCTTTTTCCCTTTTTGTGAGCCCCGCTGCCCTTCTTCCTTTGCAGTTTCCTCCTCCTGTCCTTTGGGTTTTTTTTTGTTGCTCTTGCAACCCATTTTTGTTTTTTCCTGATTGCCCCCAGAGTGGAAACCTATGTTTAATTCTGTGTGTTGGTTTAGTATTGTGTAGGTCGAGTGTGGGGGGGGGGTAGAGGGGGAACTGTGGCTATGTGGGGGAGGATGGAAAGGAGGGAGAAGCAAGTGGGTGAGTGGGAGAGGGAGAGGGGAAGGAGGGAGGGTGTGGGGAGGGGGAGGGTGAAAGAGGGAGGGGAGAGATCAGGGGAAGGAGTGAGATGCCAGTGGGGGAGAGGGGGAGTGTATGTGTGAGTCTGGCTATGTGTGTGTGTGTGTGTTGTGTGTGTGTGGGTGTGTGGGTTGTATGTGTGTGTGTGTGTGTGTGTATTGTATGTGTGTGTGTGTGTGTGTGTGTGTGTGTGTGTGTGTGTGTTGGGGTGTTGTGTGTGTATGTGTACTCACCCAGTGGTGCGGGTCGGTCCGAGCTCTGGCCCCGCCTCTTCACTGATCGCTACTAGGTCACTCTCCCTGAGCCGTGAGCTTTATCATACCACTGCTTAAAGCTATGTATGGATCCTGCCTCCACTACACCGCTTCCCAAACTATTCCACTTACTGACTACTCTGTGGCTGAAGAAATACTTTCCCAACCCTCCCCGTGATTCATCTGTGTCTTCAGCTTCCAACTGTGTCCCCTTGTTACTGTGTCCAATCTCTGGAACGTCCTGTCTTTGTCCACCTAGTCAATTCCTCTCAGTATTTTGTATGTCGTTATCATGTCCCCCCCCATCTCTCCTGTCCTCCAGTGTCGTCAGGTTGATTTCCCTTAACCTCTCCTCGTAGGACATACCTCTTAGCTCTGGGACTAGTCTTGTTGCAAACCTTTGCACTTTCTCTAGTTTCTTCACGCACTTGGCTAGGTGTGGGTTCCAAACTGGTGCCGCATACTCCAATATGGGCCTAACGTACACGTGTGTGTGTGTGTATGTTGTGTGTGTGTATGTATGTGTGTGTATGTGTGTGTGTGTGTGTATGTGTGTGTGTATGTGTGTGTGTGTACGTGTGTATGGGGGAGGTATGCGGGGAGATACTGTTAATACATACCAGTAATTCTGGGTTATTAAAAGTGATAATTGCTACTTGGGTCTAAAGCTTCAATTTGTGTCTGCCCTTGTGGTGTGTGTGTGAGGGAGGATGGTTAGGGGGGGGTAATCCGTTATACCTCTCTGTTCTGTCTTTCCTAGAAATGCTACACTCTTCGCTTATTGCCCTTTTCTGGATTAAGTTTCAATTTTTTGCTGTTATTATCCTATTCCTTGTTCACATTTTAGAGAGGACTTCCTAGCTTCCTAATATTCTTATACTAATAACTACTGTAATAGCTTGCAGGAGTGAGTGACCAGTATCTAACAGTGATGCAAGGCCAAGCCAAGCCTGCGACATGCAAACCACAATATAGGTGATACTTGCGCTGGCAACGGTCGTGCCAAGTTGCCAGATGCTGATGATGTAGTCGTCGTATGTAGCCTAAATCCCTATTTTGGAGATCCTTCATCCATGATGATTATAACCACATGTGCTCATACATCCCTCGTTCCTCACGCGATTTCACTTTTCACTTATGATAGTATACACTTCACATTATATACACTTCACTTTATATGTATAATGACACACAACTTGTCGTGACGTCACTGCTTCAGGCCTTCAGGTGTAGGTGGAGGTGTGTGTGCTGGCTTGCCTGTCACTTGACACACGTGACAACGTTGCACATAATTAGCTACTGTTTCCTTCATTTTTGGCAAAGTAAAATGTTTTGCCAGTTTACCGAGTGTCTTCTTGACACCCAAATGTCCTCCTATGGGACTATTGTGAGCAAAATCAATGGCTTGTTCACGAAATGTAACTGGTAACACGAGATGCTTGACTGTGGTGGAAACACTATCAGCTGATAACTTACATGTATTTTTCTCCATCAGTACACCTTTACTATAATAGTAGCAATTATCGAGATCCTTTGCTTCACTCTCAGTAACTGCTATATCTCTCAGTCTTTCCAGTGACTGATCAACAAACTGATCCTTGATTAAATCATCACGAGTTAGAAATTTAACGTCAGTAGTGTCCTGACTAGGTTGATGACGGGGGAGTCAGTGTTAATGATCCTGGGCGCAGAGCATCATTAAAGAACATATTCAAGCCCAAATCATTGTCATCAACTAACTCAACAGGAGACAAGGATGGTTGTTTTATCTTTGACATAGCTCTAGTAATTGTGCTGAGAGGAAATAAAATAGGCTTCTCTCCACAAACTTCAATGGCATAATTATCATCAGTGGTATTATCAATCACAAGTGGTTCCTTACATATACCAGCATGAAGGATATCGTTCCCTATCAGCAAGTCCACTGACCTGATGGGAAATACACCACTGGATATACCCACTGAAATATAACCAGTATAATAGCTTGTTTCAATGTAAACTTTGTGCAGAGGTACTTTTATAACAGCCCCACCATAGGCTTCTAACAATACATCTATCTTGGTATAGGTATTATCAGTTATGGGCAGTACATCTTCTCTTAATAATGTGAGATAACTGCCAGTGTCTCTGAAAGTAATTATCTCAGATGTGATTCGTCAATTCCTACTTTACCTCTTGATAAGTAAGGACTCATCGCTGAACGAATCTTTTCATCAGATACACTTTCTGACGCTAGTCATCTATTCTGAATAATATTATCTAAAACAGTAGGATCAGAGGTATTACTAGGATTTTGGTGCCTTTGTTGCATGGAAGAGGATACGGCTTGTGTGGGGGCGCCAGCCGCACGACTGCTTCTCGTATCTCTTTCTAACTTATAGCAACACTCTCTAGCATGTCCTTTTCTGTTGCAATAGGTACATTTAACTTTCTTCTTCTCGATATTAGACTTCTGTCTAACCACAGAGACAGATTCAGAATTGTGAGTTTTCTTGGTAAAGGTACAATAAGTTACAGTAGCAGGTACATCAGGCCGGCAATGAGCAGCTGATTTAGGTTGCCAACTTCTAGACAACTTTTAGTTACCTTGTTTCTCTGTGTTTTAGTACATACAAGTTTGTAAGAAATCTCGTAATTGTCTGCTAATGCTGCAGTTTCCAGAATATCTGAGGTCATATGATCGATCAGATATTCTTGTATGTCAGTGGACATACAGTTGTAAAACTCTTCGTGTAGTAACAACTGAACTAGACTGTCATAATTATTGCACTTAGCTGCTCTACACCATCTCTCAAATGCAACTTTTTTCTCACGAGCAAACTCTACACAAGTTTGGTCTTGTCGTCTTTGTAACGCACAAAATACACGTTGATAACTTACAGGTAACAAGTTATATGTCTCTAGAATAGTTTGCTTGACAGTGTCATAACTAATGTACTTGACAAATGGTAAAGCAGCAGTACAAGTCTGAGCTCTTCCTGTCAAAGCTATGTGCAAAAAGGTAGCCCAGTGCTTACGTGGCCAGTTCATAGCACGTGCCTGGTTCTCAAACACATCAAAATAGGTGTCTAAGTCACTCTCAAAAAACTTGGGAAACCCAAACTGAGGTAGCTTTCTGCACATTAAATGTGTCCTGTGTTGTACTAACAGATTTATCAATTTTATCAGATCTATCAGTCTGTTGTCTTCCCAGACGAACATTTTCTCTCTGGAAATCTTCTTCGTTCAATTTCCTCTGTGCCTCTATTTGTGCAGTCTGCAACATAATGAGGCATTCCATCCTCTCAAACTGTTCCTGAGAGATAGGACCAGTGGGTAATGGAGGAGTAGGGAAATTAGCATGTCTTTCTGGATGGTCCTTAGGTCGGACACCTTGTCCAGCCATCTCTAGAGAGTCTAGATCTGGTCTAGGATAAGTAGATACAGGTGTAGTATACACGGTACTAGTATGAGGCTGAGTCATACTATCAGCTACACTCTGTACTATTGTGGTAGTGAGACAGGAAGGCGTGAGTGTGAATAGAATTACACTAGGCTCAGACACTAGGCTCACTTCTGCCGTAGTTGCTCTTGCATCCAGCCTGTTACTGGGTTTTCATAACAAGAAGTCAGTATCCTGGTCCAATTATCCATTAGAGTTCAATAAGAATTATTAGTGCTTCAGGATTACAACTGGTAGGCTACTAACTAGAGAAACTAAAATTTAATAAATTTATTAATAACAAAGTCTAGAGGTATAAGAACAAAGTAAATTAAATTAACCAAAATCAAAATAATACTAATAATAATCACTTCTCTCATGTACAGAAGTATTGTGCTGAAGGCACATATCACATTTATACGTCTTAAGTACCGTCTGGTACATTAACATTTAATAAGACTTACAAATATGTACAAGTAAGTTTGTGTAAGTGCTCTAAGTAGTTTGCTATGTCTCAAAAATCAACTAGACTTAACTAGTGACTGACTAAGTTCTCACATTAACTAACTTTTTGACCACCTGGCAATCAGAATAGCTTGCTTGAACAATAAAACGACTGCTAAGCCCAATAGCAATATAACAAGCAGATGCGACACAGAATCAGGACCAAGGAGATAATATAACGACACTAAGTAGGGACCATAAGCAGATCCTCCACAAAAGTCACAAAACTCCCATACTACTGAATCTAAGTTCAGCATAAGAAAATCCCCGACTTTGACAGTACACAGATACCAGTACAAATTAGGTCAGAAGCTACAGCTCAGGACCTGAGTTGCTCAGTGTCTATGTGACACACAACCTCAGTACAACGTCGAAAATCACTAAGTCTAGACAATGTTCTGTGAACAGAGTTCTACAGAACCAACAACAAGAAAGCGACAGAGACGATCTTCCAACAAGGGCCAATAAAGGAGAGTTAGGCACGTTTTGTCAGGAATACGTCCAACCACCAAGAGAGTCTAGCCCGGACTGACTACTCCAGGCGAGGTGCGAACACCCCCCTTGATCACGTGATTGCTCCGTGGACAGCTGCTGCCCAGCAACACCGAGAAGCCGGCAGGGAAACGAGCAACGAGCAATAATTACAGTAGTTAGACAATCAAGACTTGAACTAAGAGCACTGAATAATATATATAAATGTTACATCCTACCTAACAAAAGTAACTAAGTCAAATAATAATATAAACAATATATTTACGATTTAGCTATTATCGCAAATATAAGCAATATAAAATTATATGAAAAGGTAATATACATTATATACATTGTGACCCATTCAGGGGTCGCAACAGAAAGATTCAGGACGAGTTCCATGTCTTGACACTGCGTCATCACTGGATCAACATCTGCTGGAAGGGACTCCTTAGTGCATGCCAGTTTGCCCTCATCCAGGGACTAGATGTTCAGTTCACTAGTCAGTCTGCTGGTGATTTCCCTAACCGCTATGAAAAAGAGAAATGGGGCAAGGAGATTTCTTTGCTGAACATCCTACGCATTCCCTACATCCTGATTCTCAGTCACTCGCGGCAGGGACCACCGCGAAAGCTTCAGCTACTCTTACATCATAGAGAGAGTTAATTCGTAGAATCTATGAATAATTTTGGATATTTTTTCCTCTGACATTTATCTATCAGATGCATGCATTATTGTGTAAGTTCATTTTATGCATGCCTGGCGGCCTCACTTTATATTTCACATGACTATAAAATGTGTAGGAAGTCATTCATATATAAACAACATCCAAGATATGTTCTGACCTTCGCCACTTTTCAGAATTTTTAGGTCAGAGTTAGAGTTTTTTTCCTCAATTATTCAGTCTTATAAAAGTGCTTTACAATTAAATTATTATTGCCCTAGTAAAGTTCTCTACATTTGAATAAATATTAAGCATTTTTCCCTTTCAGTGATTACGTGGGAAAGACAGATAATAAGTCTATGACAATTTGTACCGAAGCTCTGCTGAGAAGGACTAAACTACACGACTCTGGTCAGAACAACTTCTGTTTAGACACACGAGGTCTTCCGCCAATTCTCTTCGTTCTCACTGCTGGAATGAAGAAAAAAAAAGAATTACCACGTCAAACAACAAACATAAATTAGAGATTTTATTTATTGCTACTACTACTACTGCTACTGCTGCTGCTGTAAATACGACTACCACTAACACTAGTACTAACACATCTACCACAACTCATATAACCTCTACCACTTTACTACTATACCCTAGTGACCATTCCGCTCTAAACTCACCCTCAGTCTAACTCAGAATTCATGGAAACCTTACTTAGGCTACCTTGTCCCTCTACACCACCTCAGTCTCCCACTACCATCACTACTCATCTTGGTCAACTCACTGCCCGGTGGACACCAAAGACTGACCTCAAAGCTTCAGTGCCACTGCAAATAAGTCTCTGAACTTGAGCTTGCCTGCACCCACACCAGCCAGGACTCAGAAAGACTATTTTGTATTGGTAGGTGGGCCCACACTCTGCGTTTATTTCACTCCATTATTTTCAATGTGTTTGTTCAAAAGTTTATCAGTGGACCGCATTGTATTTGCATTAGCAACACTAATGAAGGATTGGTCTACTAATTTTGAGTCTTATTTAAGGATGTAGTTTTTTATTGTACGTACCAGCTTGTTACCCAACTCTGCACCCACTCCAATTTGTCTTTAGTTTTAATATAATTTGCAGATTAAAACTAAATAGCATACAATAATAATAATAATAATAATAATAATAATAATAATAATAATAATAATAATAATAATAATAATATTATTATTATTATTATTATCATTTTTATTAACGACAAACTTTATTTCTAAAAAGTGCATTCTACATATGATACTGACCTAGTAGAGTTTACTAGCATACTTAATGCATACTTAATAAAACGTTCTGGGTAATGCAGAGTATTTCGGGCAGCCTTAAAATTAACTTATACTTACTGGATAATTATTTAAATAATTAAGTTGGTTTACAAGAATGCGATAGTTTTGTACTCTGACATTAACAATATCCTTTACTGTTTGTAACATTCTATGATAAATGTTTATATATGAATAAACATTGTTGCTCTTTTTAATTGGGCTTTGACGTAATTAATCTATGGATAATTTAGGCGTTTTAAAGCTATATTTTTGAAGCAGGTGGCAGATAGGGAACTTTTTTTGCGTCCTCTGGAAGACATTATCAACACCTTGCAGAAAATTATGAGTAGGTAACAACACTTTTCCATGGAATATACGCACCCCTGGCTGACCATATTAATTTTGATTATTATTATTATTATAATCAAAAAGAAGCGCTAAACCACAAGGGCTATACAGCGCTGCATATTAATTTTCAGGATTCTTCCTTTACATCCTCTTCCTGTTCGTTTTCCCCTTCCTCCTCCTTCTCTATCTCTCCCTTCCGCACCTCTTCTCTCTCGCTTACTTTCTCTTACTCCCTCGCCTGCCACCTCTTTCTGATTCTTTCCGCCTGGTCACAGACCGGGTCGCGGGGGCGTTGACCCCTCAAACTCTCTCCAGGTATACTCTTTAATAAAAGAAGCGAAAATCATTAATCCAATAAAATATCAGCCACTATTTTACAACACGGGAAAAATGCCAAACAAAATACTAAGTGGCGCTCAGAGAAATAAAGACAGCACAAATCAGCTAAGAGCTTGTTGGGTTAATTTAAGAAGCTGGGAAGAATGTGCAAGAGTCCACACTCGCGACCCTCTCTCTCACACACTCTCTCTCTCTCACACACTCTCTCTCTCTCACACACTCTCTCTCACACTCTCTCTCACTCTCTCTCTCACACACTCTCTCTCTCTCACTCTCTCTCTCACACACTCTCTCTCACACACTCTCTCTCTCTTTTTTTTCACAGGGTTTGACAAGGTTAAGAATCCCTAGCTTTATTGACAAGCTATTTACAGGTTAAGGATTCCTAACTTTATTGGCAAGCTAAGAGCTGTTACCTATATCAGATCATTTGAAAGCATTTTTATTGTTATGAGACATACAAGTAGGGAACAGAATGAAGTTAGAGCCATCTGTGGGCCAGCATTTTCATTTGATCAACTGACTTTATCTCGTTGACATCATTATGCTGTACTAATGTGTTCCATACTTGAGTCATCCTGGGTATATATGATCTCAGATGGAGTGATGTTCTGGAGAAGGGTACAACCAGAGTGAAGTTGCTGCTGGTTGCCCGTCTTGTGGCATAAAAGCTTGTTTCACGCTGTCCTCGAAGTGTATCCAAGTGTGGTACTTTGATAATATTGGCCTTGTACATAACAGTAAGCCCACGCACATCCCTCCTGTGTTGAAGGCTCTGCTGAAATGACATAATCTATCCAGGATGGGTTAAGGCGAGAGATGAGACGTCTTGCTCTGTCTCTCTCTCTCTGTCTCTCTCTCTCTCTCTCTCTCTCGGTTCCTCCTTACTGACTGTCCTTTCTTTCCTCTTTGTTTTACCTACCTCTGCCCTTCTGTCTGGTCTGTTCTGTCTCTCATTAAGGATCTCTGCTGTAGCTGGAGCCCTGGGTACCCTCTTCCTGCGTGAAACAGCTTAATTAACACTACTTACTCAGGCCAATACAAATGCAGTTCTGTTAGTCTGGTCAGTCAAGTGGTGCTTTCTGTTGACATGCTGTTCTAATGTGCCTAGATCCAGTCTCAGCCTGCTGTCCACGAGTGATGTGATACTGCTGAAGGAATGAGTTTTTTCAGGTGGGTCAATTGCAAAAACTAGCGAAGATTAATGGTGGTTTGGCTGTGAGTATGAGCTGTGGAGGGGAGGCATGACTACAGCATAGAAAATCCTAAGAGGAATTGATAGAGCAGATAGGGATAGACTAAATGAAATGGGAGTACCTGGATCAAGGGGACACAGGTGGAAGCTGAAGACATAGATGAGCAATAGGGATGTAAGAAAAAATTTCTTTAGACTCAGGGTGGATGAAAAGTGGGATGACTTGGATGAGGCAGTGGTGGAGACAAACTCAGTGCTCGGCTTTAAGAGTTGATATGATAAGACCCAAGATACCAGAAGCCAGTGATGCAGGTCAAGGTGGTCCAGAAGGCGGGGGCTAGGATCTGAGTCTCGACCCCCGCCAGCACAACTCGCTGGGTATACACACAAACACATTACGTTTTCAGCACAGTTCTATTATGTATACGCAAGAGGTGGGTGAATTCAACGGTGCTAAAAAAGCACACTGGGTGGAAGAGGGGAGATAGAGGAAGAGAAAGATGGTAAGAGGAAGAGCGAGATGGAAGGAGAAGGGAACGGAGAGAACGCAAATGGCAGAGAAAGAGGTGAGACAGAGGGAAATGGGAGAGAAGGAAAAAGAATGATGAAAACAGGAGGTGGGGAAAGGAAGAGGAAAGATAGAGAGACGGGGGGGAGATGTGAAAAGTGAAGAAGGGAATGAGAGAGAAAGGTGTGTATTGTCTGGTACATTAAGGAAAGATGAGAGACTGGAGGGGAGAGATATCTCTTTAACTTTTGTCCGTACACTTACAAGAACGCACACAGGGACACCTCTACTCAGGTGTAGTTGTACACAAAGCGAAACGTTGCCCTAATAAAAGCTAATCTCGGCGCTGTGTCGTTCCTTTATTCAGAAAACAGTCACTTTACCCACCATCATATCACACAAAAGCTCCTCTCAAAATTTCAAAAACTTCCATTCAAGTAACATTTATGACGGGATTCAGGGAAAACCAGTCATCTGGACTCGAGTCCTGAAGGTGAAAGTACAAAGCCACCACTCTGAAGGAGAAGTGAGGATGTTGCAGTTCGTAGGGCTATCTGAAGAGTGATATCAGCAGAGGTTTTTTGTGTATGTAACATAGCTTTTTGAGTACAAACAGGAACATGGAATGAAATACTTTTTTGGCAATAAAAGAAAGAGTACCACGAGATGAAATATTGCCCGTGTGGGGACCCTACAGAAGAGGCACTCACAGAAATGGCCAATATTGTCCCCCTGTCAACAGTAAAATGCAGAAACACACAAAAGGGACGTCGTCTGTCCTAAATCTGAATATTGGTAGCGGAATTCCTGTAAATCTAAGTCACGGAGAAGCAATCCTCGTGCGGAAATTCTATTCTTTCCAAAAATTTTGCCAGGAGAGTACAATTGTTTCGAAAATTTATATGTGGGGGACTAAAGGATCGTTCGGCGTTAACTTTCGCGTGATTCTAGACATTAGTGTTATTAGACACTGGTGTTACTAGAATCTGGTATGCTGCTAGATACAAGTTGCTACAGTCATTGTGTTGCTGTCATCAGCTCCCAGACTGCATAACACCACGGCACATGACAAAATCTTCACCGCGGAGATGGATGCCTCGGTGCAAACCTTTACACAATAAAGCCAACAGGAAAAAGCTTACACGGATGACACAACGACACGGCCACTCAGAGCAAGAAGCCGGAAATCGTAATGCCGACCAGAAACTCTAGGAAGCGGGTCCAGGAGTTGACACATCCCCAACAACACACTTGGCGAATATAAATCGAATACTGAACGCACAAGCTAGTAATACGTAAGTAAATCGTGAGTGCACATAAGTACTAAATGCATGACACACATCAACTTTAGGTCTCAAAAATACATCAAGGTAGGATTAGACAACCATAGGTCACCAGCCGGACTATACATTAAACTTTTCATGCGACAGTTTTCGCTGAAGAGCTAAAGAACAAGTATTGTATAACTAGTCCGAGCTGTACAGATTACGAAGAGTGACACAGCCAACACTTTAGACGTAAGATCCCAGACCAGATGTTAGCGTTCCCACCCTACCACTACTACTACCACTCATCACCATCCACCACCACCACCACCACACACCACCACCACCACTACTACTACATCACCATCACTACCACCACCACCAACCACCACCTACTACTACTATCATCACCATCACTCACCCCCACCACCACTACCACCACCACTACCACCACTACCACCACCACCACCACCACTACCACCACTACCACCACTACCACACACACTACCACCACACCACTACCACCACAACCACTACCACCACTACCACGCCACTACCACCACCAGTACCACCACTACTACCACCACCATCAGCACCACCACCACCACCACTACCACTACCACCACCACCACTACCACCACCACACCACCACACTACCACCACCACCACTGCCACCACTTCACGCCACCACCACCACCACTACTACCCACCACTCACCACTACCACCACTACCACTACCACTACCACCACCCGCACCACCACACTACCACCACCACCACCACCACCACCAGCACCACTACCACCACTACCACTCCCACCACTACCACCACCACTACCACCCTACCACACCACCACCAGCACCACCACTACACCACCACACCAGCACCACCACCACCACCACCACTACCACCTACACCACCACCACTACCACCACCACACCACCACCACAGCACCACCACGTACTACCCCCCACCACACCACCACCACGAGCACCACTACCACACTACCACCACCACCACTACCACCACCACACCACACCAGCACCACCACCAGCACCACCACGAGCACCACTACCACCACTGCCACCACCACCACCACCACCCTCTCCCATCACCACACAGAAATACGAAGATCACTCAAGGTGTATTAAAAATTCACTGGACCTAAAACTGAACAATTCTGAGCGACTTACACTACACGGAATTCAAAATAATAATAATAATAATAATAATGCCAATAATAATACCATAATAATACCAAATACATAACATATAATAATAATCATAACTAATAATAAGAATACTACAACAATAACTTTCCTAGACACTCATCCAACGGTTTGTGCAACATCATCAGGCATGCCGAACACCATCACTCATAGGCGTACCTTCCAGCGGTATTCCTGGAGGTGCAGCTCACTCAGTCCTGAGGTGCAGCTCACTCAGTCCTGGAGGTGCAGCTCACTCAGTCCTGGAGGGCACCTCCACTCAGTCCTGGAGGTGCAGCTCACTCAGTCCTGGAGGTGCACCTCACTCAGTCCTGGAGGTGCACCTCACTCAAGTCCTGGAGCGCACCTCACCAGTCCTGGAGGTGCACGCTCACTCAGTCCTGGAGGTGCACCTCACTCAGTCCTGGAGGTGCAGCTCACTCCAGTCCTGGAGGTGCACCTCACTCAGTCCTGGAGGTGCAGCCTCACTCAGTCCTGGAGGTGCACACTCACTCAGTCCTGGAGGTGCAGCTCACTCAGTCCTGGAGGTGCAGCTCCACTCAGTCCTGGAGGTGCACCTCACTCAGTCCTGGAGGTGCAGCTCACTCAGTCCTGGAGGTGCAGCTCACTCAGTCCTGGAGGTGCACTCACTCAGTCCTGGAGGTGTGCCAGACTCACTCAGTCCTGGAGGTGCAGCTCACTCAGTCCTGGAGGTGCACCTCACTCAGTCTGGAGGTGCACTCACTCAGTCCGGAGGTGCAGCTCACCCAGTCCTGGAGGTGCAGCCACTCAGTCCTGGAGGTGCAGCTCACTCAGTCCTGGAGGTGCATGCTCACTCAGTCCTGGAGGTGCAAGCTCACTAAAGTCCTGGAGGTGCGCTCACTCAGTCCTGGAGGTGCACTCACTCAGTCCTGGAGGTGCAGCTCACTCAGTCCTGGAGGTGCAGCTCACTCAGTCCTGGAGGTGCAGCTCACACAGTCATGGAGGTGCAGCTCACTCAGTCTGGAGGTTGCAGCTCACTCAGTCCTGGAGGTGCAGCTCACTCAGTCCTGGAGGTGCACTCACTCAGTCCTGGAGGTGCACTCACTCAGTCCTGGAGGTGCACCTCACTCAGTCCTGGAGGTGCAGCTCACTCAGTCCTGGAGGTGCACCTCACTCAGTCCTGGAGGTGCAGCTCACTCAGTCTGGAGGTGCACCTCACTCAGTCCTGGAGGTGCAGCTCACTCAGTCCTGGAGGTGCAGCTCACTCAGTCCTGGAGGTGCACTCACTCAGTCCTGGAGGTGCACTCACTCAGTCCTGGAGGTGCAGCTCACTCAGTCCTGGAGGTGCAGCTCACTCAGTCCTGGAGGTGCAGCCTCACTCAGTCCTGGAGGTGCAGCTCACTCAGTCCTGGAGGTGCAGCTCACTCAGTCCTGGAGGTGCAGCTCACTCAGTCCTGGAGGTGCAGCTCACTCAGTCCTGGAGGTGCAGCTCACTCAGTCCTGGAGGTGCAGCTCACTCAGTCCTGGAGGTGCAGCTCACTCAGTCCTGGAGGTGCAGCTCACTCAGTCCTGGAGGTGCAGCTCACTCAGTCCTGGAGGTGCAGCTCACTCAGTCCTGGAGGTGCAGCTCACTCAGTCCTGGAGGTGCAGCTCACACAGTCCTGGAGGTGCAGCTCACTCAGTCCTGGAGGTGCAGCTCACTCAGTCCTGGAGGTGCAGCTCACTCAGTCCTGGAGGTGCAGCTCACTCAGTCCTGGAGGTGCAGCTCACCAGTCCTGGAGGTGCAGCTCACTCAGTCCTGGAGGTGCAGCTCACTCAGTCCTGGAGGTGCAGCTCACTCAGTCCTGGAGGTGCAGCTCACTCAGTCCTGGAGGTGCAGCTCACTCAGTCCTGGAGGTGCACCTCACTCAGTCCTGGAGGTGCAGCTCACTCAGTCCTGGAGGTGCACCTCACTCAGTCCTGGAGGTGCAGCTCACTCAGTCCTGGAGGTGCACCTCACTCAGTCCTGGAGGTGCAGCTCACTCAGTCCTGGAGGTGCAGCTCACTCAGTCCTGGAGGTGCAGCTCACTCAGTCCTGGAGGTGCACCTCACTCAGTCCTGGGAGGTGCAGCTCACTCAGTCCTGGAGGTGCAGCTCACCAGTCCTGGAGGTGCAGCTCACACAGTCCTGGAGGTGCAGCTCACTCAGTCCTGGAGGTGCAGCTCACTCAGTCCTGGAGGTGCAGCTCACACAGTCCTGGAGGTGCAGCTCACTCAGTCCTGGAGGTGCAGCTCACTCAGTCCTGGAGGTGCAGCTCACTCAGTCCTGGAGGTGCAGCTCACTCAGTCCTGGAGGTGCAGCTCACACAGTCCTGGAGGTGCACCTCACTCAGTCCTGGAGGTGCAGCTCACTCAGTCCTGGAGGTGCAGCTCACTCAGTCCTGGAGGTGCAGCTCACACAGTCCTGGAGGTGCCAGCCTCACTCAGTCCTGGAGGTGCAGCTCACCAGTCCTGGAGGTGCAGCTCACTCAGTCCTGGAGGTGCAGCTCACTCAGTCCTGGAGAGGTGCAGCTCACTCAGTCCTGGAGGTGCAGCTCACACAGTCCTGGAGGTGCACACTCACTCAGTCCTGGAGGTGCAGCTCACTCAGTCCTGGAGGTGCAGCTCACTCAGTCCTGGAGGTGCAGCTCACACAGTCCTGGAGGTGCAGCTCACACAGTCCCTGGAGGTGCAGCTCACACAGTCCTGGAGGTGCACCTCACTCAGTCCTGGAGGTGCAGCTCACCAGTCCTGGAGGTGCAGCTCACTCAGTCCTGGAGGTGCAGCTCACACAGTCCTGGAGGTGCAGCTCACTCAGTCCTGGAGGTGCAGCTCACTCAGTCCTGGAGGTGCAGCTCACTCAGTCCTGGAGGTGCAGCTCACACAGTCCTGGAGGTGCAGCTCACTCAGTCCTGGAGGTGCAGCTCACTCAGTCCTGGAGGTGCAGCTCACTCAAGTCCTGGAGGTGCAGCTCACTCAGTCCTGGAGGTGCAGCTCACTCAGTCCTGGAGGTGCAGCTCACTCAGTCCTGGAGGTGCAGCTCACACAGTCCTGGAGGTGCACCTCACATCAGTCCTGGAGGTGCAGCTCACTCAGTCCTGGAGGTGCAGCTCACTCAGTCCTGGAGGTGCAGCTCACACAGTCCTGGAGGTGCAGCTCACACAGTCCTGGAGGTGCAGCTCACACAGTCCTGGAGGTGCACCTCACTCAGTCCTGGAGGTGCAGCTCACACAGTCCTGGAGGTGCAGCTCACTCAGTCCTGGAGGTGCAGCTCACACAGTCCTGGAGGTGCACTCACTCAGTCCTGGAGGTGCAGCTCACTCAGTCCTGGAGGTGCAGCTCACTCAGTCCTGGAGGTGCAGCTCACACAGTCCTGGAGGTGCAGCTCACACAGTCCTGGAGGTGCAGCTCACTCAGTCCTGGAGGTGCAGC